TGATAATAACATGTTTTGGCTATCAATGCCCCAACTATCCAAATAAAAAATACAAAAAATTGTTTATAAATAGTTCTACAATATAATTTGCATAATTAAAAGCATTCATCGGCACTCAACATGAGACTCTATTTTTCTTTATAGTAAGGATGAGCTAGAGCCTTGAGTATTAATAGGAAGGCTATCCTGCATAAATAACAAAGAAATAATTATTACTTTACTCAATTAAAATGTAAAATAAAATCAATTTTGTAAGTAACAAAAGAATACCAGTGTGTGTTCTATTTGGCTTGATTGCTCCGTGGCAATTGGTTTCTTCTTATACATCCTTTTGTTGGAATTACATGGAGCCTTACAACCGCGCGCATTATGACCCATTTTCCTATAATTTCCACACTTTGTGGTAGCCCCTCTTTTGCTTATCCTTGATAGGTTATGTTTTTCATCTAGAGCTTTCTTCCTTGCCTTTTTAGGCCTACCAGGTGCTCTATTATATTTTGGTGGCTGTAAGGGAGGCACTATAGATTGTGGCCAATGCTCTTCACTTGGCACTGCACTTATGGTTAAAGCATAAGCTCTCATAAGTGAGTCCTTCCTATAATATGTAGAAACATAATCTTCAGGTACCCTTCTCATTTGATAAATTGCAGCCACAGCATGGCCACAAGGTATGCCAATCAAGTCCCATGCCTTGCATGTACATGTCATAATGTTAAGATCTACTACCTCCCTCTTCTATGGACTCTCTAACTCAAATCTCCCATCACCTGTCATATCGCAAATATAATTCTTCGAGTCGTTCTTTGATCTCTAAAGCTTACCTATGATTCTAGGGCATATTGCATTTTGAGATCTCTCCATGCCCTCTCTCTTTGCAACCATTCTCTTCATTAGCATCCTCCTAATGATTTCACACATTGTGATAATTGGTTTGTCCCTTGCAACCAATATAAAAGAGTTGAATGTTTCAGCAATGTTGTTTTATACAATGTCACACTTTGCATCTATTGAGAATGCATGCTTACTCCATAACTTAGGGTCATACTTATCTAACCAATTAGCAGTATTGGGATTAAGCTCCTTTAAGCGTTTCATGTGATGGTTGAATTCTTGTTTAGTTGTTGCCTTACATGCATTCCAAAGTTCATCTTTTAAATTCTTTCCCTTGTACTTGAGCTTGAAATTAGCATATAAATGCCTAACACAAAACCTATGCTCACATGCCATCCCCTTGAGCACTTCTTGCAATCCCTGCAAATTAATTAAATAATCAATGATTATTAGTAAAAAATAGAAATACGTTATTAATATCAATAAATACTATACCTTTTGCATATCTAACATCACAACCCATCCTTTATCTTGGTATGAGCCAATGTCCTTAAATAAAAGTGTCATGAACCAATTCCAACTATCTTTACACTCAGATTCTACAATAGCATATGCTATGGGATACATGTTATCATTTGCATCTTTTCCAACTGTAGATAGAAGGTGCCCTCCAAAACTACCTTTCAAAAAACAACCATCTATGTATATAATTGGCCTACATGCTATTATAAACCCTTGTTTACATGCATCAAGACACACATAAAGTCGCTTAAATAGATACCATTGTGCTTTGACTCTCATTGTACTTTCAAGGTTAAATTTTATTATTGCTCCACAATATGCATATACCTTGGAAAATTGCTCTGCATCATGACCCTCAAGCACATCTAATGCCATTCTTTTTGCACAATATGCTTGAAATTTTGAAATTTCAACATTGTGGTCTCTTCGCACTTGATTTAAAAATGCATCAACATTCCAATTTGGTTGGTCTCTAATGTGTTCAATGTACCTATTTGACAACCATCTAGCAGTCACCCATTTATTCTCCCTCTCCCATTCACAGTTATGCTTGTATAGCCCATCCACAATTATGCTTGCATAGCCCATCCACAATTATGCTTGCACTTTGCTTTGATTCGTGATGCTTCATTTTTTATATACTTGAACTCAATTCCATTCTCAAGTGCATATTGCTTTAATGCTTGCCAATAAACTTTAAAGTTTGCAAACCTCATACCAACTTGAAGATTGATAGGTCTCTTAAAATCAGTCTTCTCATTAAACTCATTATATGATTGCTCTTTTATTAGTTGCCGTTCATCATTTGATCCAATTGGACTTAAAACCTCATCACTATCATCATAATCAAAATTTGGTCCACTATGTGCATCATCTATGATAAGTGCATCTTCATTCCTTTTACTTCTATTCCATGACCCTCCAACTTGGTTATCATGCATCCATTGATTAACTTCTATAGCCAGCTAATCTCTATCAATGTTTTTAAAAAATAAGTCAAACTGCTCATTATCGCTCTCAAAAAATTCACACCCATTTAAATCAATTTGAGTGTTTAACCGCTCCTCCTCATCACGCTCATATTGTTCCTCTTCTTCAATAACTCTTTGATCCTCCCTATATTTTGGATCTTCTTGCCTTTCAACTATATTCTCTTTCAAGATTGTTGTCATCATCTCAATAACCTAACCTACATTTTTTTAAAAAAACATGTATATTATTAAAGAAAAATTCCATGCAAAATAGAGATGGAAATGATAACTTAATTGATATATTTAAAAATAAAAGGAAATTAAAAACCTATGATATCTAATTATCCAAGCTTTAAAAGTTTATTTACCTACTGAAATATTTTACAAGTAGTTTTTCTTTTTCTTTTTACTTTTTAACAAAATCAATATAAATTGCTAATAGCAAAAAAATTATTATCTTAAAGCAGCACACATTCCATTTATAATATACCAGTAACATATTCCAAGTTTAGAAAACCCCAACAAACTAGAATAAAAAAGGATGATGTTTTACAAAAATGTACTGTTCCAAATGAATTACCTTTTATTGTAAATAGTTGAAAAAAGAAAAAATAAAAATACATATAAAAAGTTATCTACAAATAAACCAAATGCTGGAGTGGAAAAGAACAAAAATAAAAATTAATTACCTTTTACCTTGTTTGCAAATAGCTTCCCAATACGTCTTTTCTATTTTTGAGTGAAGTTCCAGCACGTCTTTTGATTATTCTTGAATTGAATATGTATGACAGCGAGATGCCACAATAAAAAAGGTCGTGAGGGTTTTGTTCAGCAAGATGCCACAGTGAAAGGGTAGCCAGATGCGACGCCGAAAGAGTTTTGTTTTGCATTAGTGACGACGACAGGGAGATAAAGGGCAGCGAGGGTTTTTTCTTTTTTAAAGTTGAATGACATTTTAGCCCTTATGAAAAATAATATAATCTCTAAATATTTATTATTTGCATATATAAGATGCCATGTAAGCTTTTATGTGTATTGTATTATCTGACATGGCAAATTATGTTAATAATATAATAGAATTAATTAAAGGTGGGGGGCTTTGAAAAACAAAATTAAAAGTTAGGGGGTTAATTTTAAACTTTTAACGATGAAGGGAGTTATATGCAACTATCTCAAAGTTCAAGAGGGTATAAACTAATTTCCTAAATTTAAAAAAATATTAGCTAAACTAATTGGACTCATGGAATTGAATATCTTAGAATAGACTTAATATACTAAGAGTTTTTCTTGGATTTTCTAGTTCCATTTGTCTTTAAGACTCTTTGATCATATAGGACATCCCTTATTAATGAATTTAAGGCTTCTTTCATTTTCTTGGCTTTGAATTGAGTCATCAATCCTTTAATGTTCTGCAATGAATTAAAGATACTAAATGTTGAATGTTGACTCATCTATTGATTCCCAGTGGAAAGGTAATTGGAAGCAAGGTTTGCGCAATGGTTAAGGAAGCTTTTGAACCTCGAACCTTTGCCCTTTTGAGTGTGCTTGTGAGGAGATTATTATTCATACTATCTATGACAACATAAAAGTAAGAGATATGTGGAAAGCTTTAACTAATTCTAATCATTTTGGTGTGTTTTTCTCTCAATCTGCAGGGTTAGCTTTGTTGGAATGCTTCTCATAAGCCAAGGCGTAGGTTCGTGAAGTCTTGGACTTGGGCTAAGGTCTTTAGCTATGCTTGTTGAATGATTTAGACCTAAAGGTAGCCAACAACTTTTTGGAGGGATAAAGTGAATCAGCTAAAAGAGATTATCCACAGCTGTTTACATCTTGTATCAGAGGATGATGCAAATGTCAAATGGAAACATAAAATTTTCCAGAATGCTGAGAAGGGTAACCATTCGTGGAAACCCCCACCATATGATGTTGTAAAGGAGGATGCTAATGGATCAGTTTGGACCCATGATCATGCTGTCTGCGGGGACTTACTAGAAATTCTCCTAACATTTGGGTTACAGGTTTCAAGAGAAATTTGGGCTGTTTTGGATCTACTGCTGCAGAGGTTTTCGCCATTAGAACGGGTTTTGACGTAAAGTAGACAACTGGGCCTCTCCAAGATTCTACTGATTCTAACTCCCTTGATGCCATTAACCTCTTGGTATGAGATTCTCCCCTTGATCATCCCTTGAGGGAAGATACTTCTGAGATTAGGGAACTGCTGTATGCAGGTGGGAGGTTCGTATCCTATTCACGTGGAGGATTTTGATTAGTTGCACGTACTTTTTAGCTCGTTAGGCTCATGGATTTGCGTTTGATGCTGAACTAGTTTCGATTGTGTCACATGATTGTGTACCCCTGTTTTTTTTTTTTTAATGATAAGCAAAGTTTGCCATATGTGTAGGTTTATTTTGCAGACTTTTTTTTAATTGTAATTCATTTTTCTTTTCTTAAGCTTCAGCTTGCCTTTGTTTATGAAAGAAAAAAATATAACATTTGATTTATTTGAAATACCCTTATTAATTATTTGATAAAATAAAAGTGTAAACTAAAAAATATATAACACTCTTATATTTTAAAAGAAGTAAAATTTAGAAAATGATTTATACTATTTTTCAGGGAGTACGTTGATAGCATAGCAACCCTAACAAGTAACAAGCTACAACTAAATGAAAACTAAGAAATATTTAGCAGCCAGGAAAAAAAAAAAAAACAACGGGAAGTCTGGAAGCCAGGCACAATACAAAGTGAGTGAAGAAACGAAAGCAAGGGGATTGCGAGCTTCGGGTTGCTGCAAGGATCGCTGAGGAAAGGGAGTGGCGGTGAGAGTCGAAGACTGCGAAACTCGCATCCCAGGACATGACCTTTCTTCTGCCTTCTGACTCTCTTTTACTGCCTTCGTAAGTTGCTGAACTTTTTTTTCTTTCACTCTATTTCTCCCACTTCTTTATTTTTTTGCTTTGCTTGAAGCGTTTGATCTATCACTTATCTTGTTTCATGCATCGCATTTCCATCTGAAATTGGCCGGTTATTCATCTTTTCCCGGAAATCTTAGTCTTTAATGAATCAATTTATTGAAATCCTTTTGGGTTGGGTAATGGGTCGGCGTTTCTTACCCAGAAATAGTGAAATGTTTTAGGCGAGAATTTGTTCAGGATTATGTGATAATTATGAAGTAAATATTCAAGGGGATATGCCTACTCTTGTGCATGGGCTACTGTATGGAGATTCTTTGTAAGTAGGGTTCACTCTTTCGTACGTTGTTTTCCAAATAAGATCATTTGATTATCAACACTGATTATAAGGAAGGGATTATAGTTACATTTGGACAAAGGGTCTCAATTTTTTTTGCTGTTTCTGTCCGCTCACCGCTTTCTCTGTTTTGGATTCAATTTAAATTGCGCATTTTGTCTTCTTCTTATCTACTTTTCCCTTTTGAAGTAATGGAATAAAGAAAATAACTTAGAGCCAAAATCCTATACTATGAAGCAGGGTATATCAGTATATGCAATATCGGTATCCATCAATTTCTCAATGCCCTGGAAACTATGGTCCAAGCAAAGAGGATTTTTGACTTGGATCAGTCACACTAATAATCATACTCTTCATAAGGGGGGAGCTTGAAGGATTAATTTGCACTTTTTTTTTTGTTCAAATAAAGCGGGTATCTATACTCTATACAGTGGCGGCAAATTTTTCTCAAGGATTTTATTTCCACTCTTTTTTAGTGGTAAAATTATTTTTCATAGAGATCTCATCCTGAACCGTACTTTCCCTAAAAGTCTCACCATGACACTACTTCAGACAGCTGGAAAATTTATTATCAAGAGACTTTCTGAAATTTGTTCTTGCATGGTGTGCACGTAAAAGGTATACATTTCATTCACTGTATAATATGTCGAGTGTATTGAAATGTTACTTCCTTGACGCCATCAGAAGATATAAGAACCAATTCCTTGTGACATGCTATATAAACCTTGAATGACTTACGGAACAAAAGAATTATCCAAAAGTAAGCTATAGAAGTGCGTGTGTGTCATTAATTGACCTTTTTAATTTTTCAGATTTCAGATTATATTGTACATTTCAGATTTCACGCTTTGATAATTATGTATCAAGTCTTTTGTAGAAGTGTGTGTGTGTCATTAATTGACCTTTTTACATTGCACATAATGAAATGTAAAACATGTTCTCCGACAGCGCTGCTAATAGGCAGCAGCTATTCAGTTAATTGGCAACTACTTCATGCATATTATGCAAGAAGCCATGAACTATTGACGTAAATGACAATTGGTTGCATAAAACTTGACATTAGTGCTCAAATTATTAAGCAGCAGCAGCAGCAGCAGCAACAAGAAGCCTTATTCCACTAAGTGGGGTCAATTACATAGATTATATGACTCTATCATGCTCTATCATTTATTAAGTTTTTATAAATAGTATTAATTAAGAGGTCTAGATTAATAACTTCCAAAAGTGTTCTCTTTGGCCTTCCTCTGCTCTTCTTGAAGCAAACTCTAGGAAATCCAAGTATGAAAGTCTAACTTGATTGTGACAAATAAAAGTTAGAGTAGAAAAATAGAAAGATCCCCCCTGCAGTGTGTAAAAGGATCAAATATAGATTAATGGAGATGCACATTATGTCATTTGCTTTGTTGTGTTTGACACTTTGACTGGAGTTCAGTGCTGGAATCATTTAGTAGATGTTTAGATCTTTTCACGTTTGGTCAGGTTTGGTTTGTAGCATTCTGTAATTGCAATTTTATAGTGCTTATTTTATGGTTCTCCTTATTTTAGTGAGAGACTGATATTTGAGCTTCCTTTAAATTTGTGGGGTTCTTTTTTTCCTGAAGTTGCTATATGTTGGAATTTGGACTTTGGAGCTTTAAGATATACTGGATCAGCTCTGGAGATGTTAATGAAAATGAGAAGTTGTTTATTTCTGCATTCATAACCTTGAGTATTTGCTCAAGGAAACTGTATAGACTATAGAGAGTCTAAACTAATTTGAGCATTAAGATATTGCTTTCTTAGACTTCTTTTTACCCTCATGCTTTTTGGTTTAAAACTTAATATAGAAGAAATGTTATATCATATGATTTCAGTTGTATTATATTACTCTGAATTTCAGATACATTATGTTCATCTAGTTCTATTCTCTTGATCTGCAGAATTATTTTGCTACACAGTGTTGAAGAAGTAATTTGGACCAATTAGAGCTTGCTTGTTCACATATATTCAATTCAGTGCAAAGAAAATTGGTACATATGGCAGGATTCTTATCTATGGAGTCAGTGAATAATGGAACATCTGATGGCAGTGCTTTTGAAAGTTCTACCATGGCCAAGAAAGGGGAAGAAGCAGGTCGCTGGTACATGGCTAGGAAAGAAATAGAGGAATATTCTCCATCCAGAAGAGATGGAATTGGCTTGAAGAAAGAGACATATCTGCGCCGGTCTTACTGCACATTCTTACAAGATTTAGGCATGAGGCTTAAAGTGTAAGTTCGCTGATACAGACATTATCATGAATATTTGCGCATAAGGCATGAGGCTTAAAGTGTAAGTTTGCAAATTTCCTCTGAATGTTTAGTGTAACCTTTCTCAACAAATAAGACTGTTTAAATGTTTGAAACACCCGCTAATTCAATCTATGATTGCATGCATGTACAGGAAGTCCCATAAGAACATGCACACTTAGACTCCCCAACTAGGTTGCTCTTTTACTCTTTTTTCTTTATTCTGAGATAGCTATATAACTTCAGGAGTCTTTGCCTAGACAAAGGGAGGTGTAGCATCTGGAAATTGCATTTGCTGGTGCATTTGGATCTATGCCATGTTGGGGATATTGATATCCAGTTCTAGGATTTTGATTGGAGACTCACATTTTGGTGTTAATTTTGTTCATTGCAGACCTCAGGTAACTATAGCAACAGCCATAGTTTTTTGTCATCGGTTCTTTCTTCAACAATCTCATGCAAAGAATGATAGAAGGGTGGGTTGTTTCACTCTCAAATTGATACTGTGCATTTTACCTCTCCTGATCTTTACCATGTGCTTTATGTTGGTATGACATGCTTGTGCTTGTGGTTTAGTGAGTAACAGGTCTGTGGTATACATTTACTGGTGAGCGGCCCATGTTGTATATTAAGTTGTAACGTTTTTATACATATTAATTGCATTGCTTTCCCTTTCTGCCAGATGCTTAATATTTTCTGGATGGTTATTAAATGGTATTTTCGAAAAAAGAGAACTATCTTTCATACTATATGAAATTACTATTATAGTCAATATACCAAAAGTGTGGTACCAATATCTGAAGGAAAGTCATTTGCTATACTGAAGAGTGACAAAATATACTCTGAATTTCACAAATTTATATCATTTTTGTTGACAGCTTAGTTAATATAATTGTTTAACTTTACAAAATATTTTGATGATCTTTTTCATTCAACTAATTGTTGAATGCTTTCTAAGTTTATGCTTTTTTGGAAATAAATCTCCTGATTGATTGCATCCAATTTCATTCTTTATGGGTAAAGATGACAAAAAAAAATTATTTGTAATAAATCATTTTTCATTCTGTATTTTGGTTGCATTATCTGGTTAAGAACAATCAATTTTTCCAGTTCTCGTAAACAAAGTTTTGAGTTTGATATTCATTAACACATCTTCACCTCATCATTATTTTGGATCCCTTAATTATTGATTTGCTTTCAGGAAATTGTAACTTTGATGTAAATCAAGTATAGCCGTAATCCATTCTAATTCTTGGGGTTTATTTTCCACTTCTCATTAAATGTTCATGTGACCTAGTAATAGTTGTCATCTTGCTAATTTCTGGACTCATTGACATTGACAGTGATCTTGCATACAAGATACTGAACCACTAGAGTCATTTTTGGTGTAGGTTTAGTTATAAATTCTTGTTTTGGTTGCAAAAGGTGTTGAACATTTTCACTTTTTCAATTTAGATACTGGATCTCTGGTGAAGCATCATGCAACTTTCGATAACTTGTATTAATAGTAATCTGTGCATACTGCTTGAGCAATGAAGATGTTCTCTTAAATTTACAGACCTCATAATAGTTCTTAATTCAGCTCTACATTAAGAATATGTGTTAAAGTAGTAAAAACTTGATAGTGTACTTTATTGGAATCTCACACTTGATTAAAGTTTTCTGCAGATTATTGCAACCGTCTGTATGTTCCTTGCTGGGAAAGTTGAAGAGACTCCTCGACCACTAAAGGATGTCATTATTGTTTCTTATGAGATTATTTACAAAAAAGATCCTGCTGCTGCACAGAGGATAAAACAGAAGGTGTTTTACGGAATAGTGGCAATGCTATAGCCAGTTCGTTTCTATACTAATCATTCTGAATTGATGAATTTTCTGGAATCTTGTTCCTGCCCTTAACCCAAGCCATTCTTTCTTCTTATTTTCTCCCTGTTGATTTTCCACATTGGAATAGTTATGTTTTCCTTGTGCTGCAAGGCTGGCTTTCCTTAAAAGTCAGGTTCTAGTGTATTTATCCATTTTTTCTATTGTGAACTGCTTGGCTTGGTCTAACATGGTTGATGCATCTTATTATTGAAATTATTGTATGTCATGAAGTTATTAAAGCAGAAGAGCGTTTGATTGATATTCACTGATGCACCTTCCTGTTACTGCTTGATAGGAATTCTATCATTTACTATCAGTATTTGTTCTTTCTCTGTACCCTTTTTATTGGAATGTTGATCGAATTCCACCTATTTTAGTTTCCTTAGCACACTTTTTGACACATATTTGACTATGCCTGTTATACTATTTATATTTGCATGTTATTGTTCATAAACAATGCAGGAAGTATACGAGCAGCAGAAAGAGTTGATTTTACTGAATGAGAGGTCTGTGCTTGCCACGTTAGGTTTTGATCTCAATGTTCAACATCCCTACAAGCCCCTTGTTGAGGCCATAAAGAAGTTCAATGTTGCAAAGAGTGCCCTTGCACAAGTTGCATGGAATTTTGTCAATGATGGGTATGATTAAGATGCCATTGTTTTTAATCGTTGTTAAGTGTGTTTTAATTATTTTCCACTATATTTTGTTCACACACTAGAAAGTGGCTTTCAGGCTGAGGACATCGCTCTGCCTGCAATTTAAGCCACATCATATTGCAGCAGGTGCCATTTTCCTTGCTGCCAAGTTCCTAAAAGTGAAGCTTCCATCAGATGGTGAGAAGGTTTGGTGGCAAGAGTTTGATGTCACCCCACGCCAATTGGAGGGTCGGTGTCATCCCCTCAATTTGTTTGCACACAAATCAAGTTGACCCAACTGGATAGCCTTTTTAAATCCCCATGGCTTTTTGCATTTTGATAATTTCAGTCACTCCTGTGTGGCTTGAATTTTCTGAAAGCTTGTAATGTAAGCATGTCTCTAGCCATCATATATATCTCATGCCTCCCACTGATTCTGCCTAAACAGAAGTGACCAGATTGCCAAGAACTGAAATCTGAATAGTCACTCCTCGTACCTGATCAAGTTAGGCATTCAGAGGGGAAAAAAAAAAATCTCAGTTTCATGCCATGGGTAGTTTTTTGATGTTAAATGATGGGCTGTCCTTTTGTGTCTTGCTGCATGAATGATTTTGGATCATAAATTGCTTGCTTTGTATTTTCTTCCAGAGGTTAGCAATCAAATGCTGGAACTCTATGAGCAGAATAAAGCTCCACCATCTCAAGGAAGTGAAGTAGAAGGGAGTGTTGGAGTAGGCACAAGAGCTGCGGCAAAAGAACCTGCTGTGAGTGAGGAGCAGGTTTCAGAACAAATACCATCTCATTCCGCTCATCAGGACTCACCTGCATGTGAGGTTCCACCAACAAGCACAGAAAACCAAAGTAATGATGGGAGTGCAGAAATGGGAAGTGTAATTACTGATCACAAGTTGGATGTGGAAATTAGAGATTCTCAGCTTTCAGATGGGTTGCCACAGAATGATAAAGAGAGAGAATTGGCAGGTGGATCAAACATGGGAACTCAGCAAATAGGTGCAGGGGACCAAGATAGAATTGGTGATACAAATGAGGCTGCAGAATTGCAAAGGAGGGAGGATTTGGCATTGCACAATTCCTGCAGCGTTGTTCGAAATTTAGAGTATCGAGAAGGCTCTATTGATCAGTCACCCAAAGAAGCAATTAAGATGATTGATAAAGACAAGGTCAAGGCTGCATTAGAAAAAAGAAGGAAAGCACGAAGGGAAATTACATTGAAGAAGGATGATGTAATGGATGAGGATGAATTTATTGAGAGGGAGCTAGAGGATGGTGTAGAGTTGGCTGCCGAGGATGAGAAAAATAAGTGGGAGGGGAGACCATATGGATCTGAATGCGATAGCGCAGATTGTAGAAGGATAAATGAGGAAATTGATGACGGGAAAGCTGTGGCTGGGAAGCGGCAGTCATGTAAAGAAGCGAAACTGAAAGAGGAGATAACAGACGATTCCTCAACTTTGATGAACAAGCACAAGAGAAAGGCAATGTATTCGCCAGGCGGGCAACCCGGGGATAAAAAGTGGCTTGACCCAAGTTATCATGATGAGGTTGCAGAAGATGTGAACTGGAAGGGTGGAGTTTCTTATGAAGAGGGGAACTGCTGAAGAGCAGAAGAGGAAAGCGATTGGTGAGAAGAATTAGTCTGTCCTCTATTTGAAGGCTCATTGTGGCAGAGGGTTGCTAAAGAAGTGACGATTCTGATGCCTTTGTATGTGTTGTACAATTTCATGTCTAAGGAGCCTGGATATTTCATTTTTGGGAGTGACAGTGAAGGTTGATGCACAGTTGCTAATTATTTAAGTAATTAGCTTCCTCAGAGTCATCCTGCCTAATAGATGAATGGTGCTTGAAATGGAAGTCATTGAGAATTGTAATCTGATCTCCTGGGCTTTGATGGTGCTCATCTTAAAGAATATAAATGCAAGAAACATAAGAAATGTGTAGTTAAATTATGAATGGTTAATATGGCATTGTTATATTCGAAACAAGTTGGCAATAAGCGTTCAAGCCTCCTAGTACTCGTATCTTTTGTTTTTCATCCTCCTATTGTTAGTAAATTTACTACTTTAGTGCCCATTGCCCAGTTGAGCATAAATTTAGAGGAGGTTGAAATTATACAAATTTAATTTGAGTAGTATAAATTTATTAGTAATGATTAAAATATAATAGTAAAATATCCAATCTGGGTAGGTCGTGGTCTCGTGGATGGCACGCGGATGCAACCTTATGGACAAATGTGATATCAGATTTTTGTACACGTGAACCTATGACTTGCAAGTTACAAGCACTCTCTCTCTCTCTCTCTCTCTTATCCACCCTTCCCTCTTAAAAATTCCAACCTGTTACCACACAGATAACAGAACAAAGACTCCGATATGCCCACAGCCAATACCAGCTCGCCAGTTCAGCATCACCTTATCCACCTCCTCCTCCTTCACTTCTCACCAGAGAATCTTAAACTCCTCTCTCGCCTCTCTATCCACTGCCTCTTCCTCTCCCTAGTCTTTTCAAACCTCTTCCCCATCTTCCTTCGCGCTTCATTCCCAAGAGAGAAACAAAATGTCTCTCACGATCCCAACCAATCTCTCCAAATTCAACTCCTTCAAGCCCAAGTTGGGTAACTCCCAACCCTCCCTCAAACCAAGACCGGCCACAATCGTCTGCTCTGCGTCTTCTGAGAAAAGCTCTGATGCATCCACGCTTCAGGCTTTCTCTGCCGCGCTCGCCCTCTCCTCCATCCTCCTGTCAGCCCCTCTCCCCGCCGCCGCCGACATATCCGGCCTCACCCCCTGCAAGGAATCCAAGCAGTTCGCCAAGCGCGAGAAGCAGCAGATAAAGAAGCTGGAGTCAGCGTTGAAGAATTACGCGCCGGACAGCGCGCCGGCTTTGGCGATCAAGGCGACGATCGAGAAGACGAAGCGGAGGTTCGACAACTACGGGAAGCAGGGCCTTCTGTGCGGGTCAGACGGTTTGCCCCACCTGATAGTGAACGGAGACCAGAGGCACTGGGGCGAGTTCATCACGCCGGGGATTTTGTTTCTGTACATCGCGGGTTGGATCGGATGGGTGGGTCGGAGCTACCTGATTGCGATCCGGGACGAAAAGAAACCGACTCAAAAGGAGATCATCATCGACGTGCCTCTCGCTACCAGGTTGGTGTTCAGAGGATTCAGTTGGCCCGTCGCTGCCTACAGAGAGTGGTTGAACGGTGAACTTGTCGCCAAGGACGTGTAGGCGTAATTTCACGCATTTGCGTTTGTCTGATTTTTCTCCTTCTTTCGTTTTTAATTTCTATAATGCCGTGGAAATTACTATGAAAAATTAGATTGATGGTGCCATGTTTCTGTGCTTGATTTGTATATTCTACTTGAAATGCCTGGGAACCAGACTGAAACTCACAAACTGATCTTAAATTATGGTTTCTTGCCTTGAATGAAAGGGAGACCCCATAAAATCCATATATGAATTTTGAAACACATTTTACCTCACCATGCTGCTTAATTTTTTTTAAAAAAATATTGCCTCCAAATAAAAAATAATAGATATAAAAACACATGCCTGTGCACCATGGCCTTTTCTAATTCTTTTTCCTTACATATGCGCGATCATAAGAATCTGTTTCTAATGTGAACTAGATGCGAGGGCTGAGATTTTGTACAACGTGTGGAGAATGAATATCGTCAATCATTTATTAATAATGCGGTTTATTTTTATATATTAAAAACATAAAAATAAATATTGAGTCGTAGTGAAAATCACACATCCAAAGTTCTAAGGCGTTTAACCTAGAGATAGGATGCGTGAATATTTTGTGAAAACAATCAGTCTCGATCTCGAAGAATGAAGTGCTTTCATAATTTCCTTACAAGATAATCCCAAATATTTGACTCATGGACCTCAAAATGGCATTTTCTTTGCCTTGAATTAACAAGAATATAGACAGGGAACAAAGGCACGCCAATCTCTTTTGGGGGGGGGGGGGGGAACACAAGGTAAATGCTTGCTGCTTCAAGAATGCAGATGATAACATCACTTGATAAACAACACTAAAATTACCATAAAAAGTCCACAATCCCACTGCAAGATATGCTTCTAAACTTCATATCAAGTCTAAGTCATATATATTTACACTATATATATATATATATTAATCATAAACTAACCACAAACCCTTTTCCGCTCTTCCAAATCAATTTAATTGAGCGGGCGAACACCTCCGCCACGGCTATTTGTTGTAATCCCCACCACTAAAATACTAGCAAAGATTTGATTTAAATCATTTAAACTTTGTGAAGAAATTGATGGTTTCACTTTCAGTAAAAGAGAAAAACACAATATGTGAGGTCAAACACATCATGCATATTGTGTCTCTTCTATTCCTGAAAGTGAGGGGAATCAACTTCTTTGATGAAGAAAAAACTAGCAGTGCCACATTGAATCAGAATAAGTGGAATGGTCCATCAATAATTCCATGTCAACAAAATGCTTGGAAGGTGGCGGAGAGTCACTACCAGTTGGGCTGAGCCCCTGGTTGGAAAGTGAAGCAGATTGGCTAACCCTAAGATGGACCACCTCTGCCTGGGCCAAGGCCAATTGGGTCTGAAGCAAATCAATCTGTCTCTGAAGAGAAGAGATGGCCCCAACACACCCATACACTGGATCTCTCACTCTTGCGTTCGCCTCATACACCATACTGCTCACTGCATCCCCTCTTTGATGCACTGGTAGCTCCTGTGATGGAAACAGAAATGGCTATTTATAATGGACTAGGACCATGTTAATTTGACAGAACGAGCAAGGTTCACGTGATGCATCATGTTACATGAAGAAAAAAGGAAAGCAATTATTCAAAGAGAATACAAGAGAGTGAGTTAATTGTGGAAGCAGAATGGACTACTTTCTTACTTTAGCAAAAGGCACAATTATATATGCTATTATATTTTATGGATGGAATCTTCTAAAGTTTTCGGTAAAATTGCACAGCAAATTCGGATATGAACTGAAACAATCTTGCACTTTAATTGTTACTAACACAGGACATTTTCTCAGGTAACCCTTGACATAGTAGAAAAGACTGAAAACACATTTATTGGTTCTACGGTGCGTTCAAACTTCACATCACACCTCATCTCTTTTGTCTCTCTGTATTTTGCTTTCAAATGTATCTGTTATTATCTGTCTTTTCTCTTGGCCCGCCATAGCCGTCCAATATACAAAACCTAGCTAGTATTACAATTTTATTTCTTGAAGCATCTTTTTGCTGTTTAATTATGTCCCTCAAATCAAAAGGACAAGAACAGTTTTTAGATTTGTATTATCAAATTCTTCACTATGCATCCAGTCTGTATTGTTTCTCACTCAACAAAAATACAATAAACATATACCAATGCAAGAAACGGCCCACGGCCCATCAATAGTTCTAGTATATTCCTAACCATTAGTCACACCGTTTTGATATCCCCCAAAAAGAAAAAAAAAAAAAGATGTTACACCGTTTACCTCGGGCTTGCAGAACTAACTCCATATCTTCAATCTTCAATTATTGATAAAAGATGTATATGTAGGGAACTAAATAAAGTGAACTTTTCGTGGTTGAGCAAAATAACTTGAAGAAGTGAGCAAGAGCACAAAGTCGCTGATGGATACTTAGAAATAGGCACAGGTGCCATACAACTTTCAATGATTTGATGCCTCAAGTAATATTAATTTTAAGGCATCATATTGCAGAAACAGAGCTCCGATGTTAAGCGTGGGGATCAATTACCAATATCAGTGTATCCCCCGAAAGAGATCATGAATTAAAGATGAAGTGCAAGAAAAGGAAACAAGAAGGAGATGAAGAAACCTGAAGCATCTTGTTGACATTACTGGCACCGAAGACTTTGTGAACATTAGCGAACTTGTGGGGCTCATCGGCAGGGAAATAAGGAGCGAAGACACAGTCGTTGGCACATCTTCTTCGAAGCAGTTTGCATGCTGCACACGGTGACGCTGCACCCTGCTTCCTTCCTCCCTCTTTCATTTCTTCAATCGCCTGATTACTTGTTTACCTGCACATCAACATGAAGACGATGCTACGGAAGAAGGAGAAGGGGAAAACCGAGAGGAAGAGGGCAGAAAAGAGCCTCATATAGTCAAAAGGACCCGAAAGCTATTATATAGAGCTACTGACAGAAAATGCAAGAGTAAATCACATCTAACAACCCAAATATGATGAAATGTTTAAATAATATAAGAAGTTTATCACATTGTTATATTAAAGCAGCTTGTTTCTCATACTATTTGCAACACGCAAGACTCGTATTAGATTTTATTTAAAACAAATATTTTTGATTACTTTTTGAATATTTTAAAAATAATTTTGCTAAAATTTATAGCACATTTTTATTATCAGATAAAGTTTTAAATTTGTAAACATAATTAGTTACGGTCCAGTAGGCCTTATATAATTGTATTATTTAAAAAATATAATAAAGTCTCAAAAAGAATAAATCAACAACAGCTAGGTCATTGATAAAATTTTGTATAAAATAAATTGTAAATAAATTAATTGTTATAGTTGAAACTTAAATATCTTACTTGCAATTGAAATTTTTAAAATTATAACTGTTTGAATTAATATTTATAATTAATTTTTAAAAAAAATTTATTTCCTCTCTTTTAAAATTTAACTGTCATTTTTTCTATTATTATGACTCTTATAAATTATAAACTTTATATTAAAGTTGATTTGGGAAATTGGGATTGATATTAATTGTGATCGTTTTTAATATTTTTAATATTATATAGTCCTTGTAATTCTTTGTTGTAAAAAATTAAAGTAGTTACACCGCATGGGACATTCCTTGTGGGACCACAAATTGTTTCTTTTCTTTTCATGTGGGTGGACTCGAAAATGCGCATATCTCAACCCCATGATATGATTTTGACGCCTTTGGGCGCCAAAAAATTTTTTCAACCTCTGTTCCTTTTTTTATTATTTAGAAAAAAAATATAAAGATCATCTTCAAATGTTAAGTAATGTAAACTTTAACAGAGATACCATATCAGATGCTTTCATTTTATGACTTGGTAACTATTCTAATTCGAATGACCAGTTTGAAGCAAAACGATTTGTTGTTACATTCTTAGAAATCAAGCATTGTTGTCGTTTCCTTTCAATTTTAACCTTGTTTATTTTGATATATATATATATATATATATAACACAATATGATAGTTGTCGCGCCTGATTCGGAATTTCCTGAGGAGGAAAATCAAAAAAAATAAATATTTAGAAGTTACCATCAAAATTTTAAAAAATAATTTTGAAAATTTTTTTGACATGTGATCTACATATAGAAAAAAAGTAAGGGAGTCGATTACGCACGGGGAAGGTGTTAAACACCCCATAACACCCATTCATGTGAATGATTTACCTTAAGTTAACTATATAAATTTAAATGACTTTAAAAAATATATTAATTATTCTTAATAAAATAAGATAAAAAGAAGAAAATTAAAAAGAATAAATTTTATTTATTTATTAGTTGAACTTGACCTAAGATAAAACTCTATGGCCTATATACCCTTTTGAGGAATTAAAGTTCACATAGTTCAAGGTAAAAATATGTGTTTCTTAATTGAGATTTTTTAAAAAATTATTTATTAATTTTTTATAAAATAGTTTTAATGTTGGTTTTTTTATTTAAAAATATTTTATTTCTTTATTTGTGACAAAATTTTGAGAAATAATCTTGGAAAAATTATGAAAATTTCATGTATCGAAATCAATCTTTCAAATATAATTTATTTTATTTTATTTATTTTAGAAAAATATTTTATTTTAGTTAAGGATAAACTGTTTTAAAATGTACTCATGATAATTTATCACTATGTAGGATAAATTATTTAATTTATAAATTTGTAACAACTCTAAAAGTTTCATGCAACTGATAATTTTAAAATTATGTACATGCGATAATTTATTACTATGTAAAATAAATTAATTAATCTATAAAATTGTAAGAACTTTAAAAGTCTCATACATCAAATGAATATAAAATTTATAAGGATTATGAAAGTCTCATGCATTAAATAGATATAAATTTGAAAGGCTATAAAATATTAATAAAAAATTATTAATAAAATGAAATTGAATATTTGTAGATACCCATGCTAGAGTGAATAATTTTCTCTAGTCTTGGGATCACGCACATGAAGACAAAAGAATAGGATTCAAGATGAGATAGGAAAAAGAAAAGGAATGCATAGAGATTATAACAAGTCCACGTCGTGCCATCTCAAGGAGACAAAAGAATTGCAATACATATGCTAGTTAGTGGAGATTCAAATTAAGCTTGTAAGCAAAGATTTATATTTTTGAATTTTTATCGTTTTCTCTTTCCTTTCTTCAATTTCTCTCTAACTATTTCATATTCTATCTTTGCTTTTCTTTATATAGACTCCTATATTTAAAGTTTTTTTAATATCTCAATCATATCGTGAGCAATATTAATATTTTATATATTTTTATATTATTATTATTATTTAGAGATTGAATATTAATTGTTATCTTTTCTATTATTATATCCTAATTACTATATTATTTTGAAATCTTTAAATCTTAATATTAGATATTAGGTAATCTTGAAATCTTCAAATTATAATATCATATTATATTATATTTTAATTATTTTAATTATTATATCGTGATCTAGCTTGCATATATTTTATTATTATCTTTGTACCCAACTTTTTTTTTCTTTGTTTTCTTGTTATAAAATATATATTTTTTATTCCTATTATTTTTGTTTTTTATCTTTATTGTAGATATTATCTTATTTATTTATTAGGACTCAAACAAAATATGGTGTTCATAATGGTATAAAAAGTTAAGTACTTTCATTTTATGGATGCAATAATTGTTTTTTTATTGCATGCATACAAGTATCCTTTTAATAGATAATTTTTTTTTTTGAAACTATAAGGTCAGTACATTAAATGTGAGTATCTTTTTTAATAGGAATTCAAAACTTAGTTTTTTATATTGTGAATGATTAATCCATTTTGCTAAACCCAATATCTCTATTAGTGTATACGGTAGCCGTTAATAATTACATAAAACTAATGATATAGAAGTATGGCATCATGAGAAATATATGAAAACTTAGGTCACATTTACCTACTAGAATGGAATGAATTGAAAAAATAAAGGTAAAAATTAGATTATCAAATGGGGTAGATGGACACATTCACAAAAGAGAGGGATAATTTAATTCATAAGGTTAAAAATTATAATTTATGAAATTTTTAGAGGTTGTAATGATTCCCACATTTGTAGTATATATTAATAAATTTTATTATATTTACCATAGAAAAAAAGATAATTTATTTTATTTTTATTTTAATTTTTTTTAATACATTCCATTTCATTCCATTCTAGTAATCACCAAACGAGACCTTATGGTGATTATTTTAGGTTTTTTTTTTGCCAAAATAGATAAAGTTAAATGTTTGAACTTTGATATCATAAAAAATATATACTAGAAAAGTTATAACTATCAACCATGAAATGAAAGATATAAGTTTAGTGAAGGGATTGAATTTGATGTAACACTGCCAGTTATTTGATAATTGTATAATCATCAAAAAAAAAAAAAAAAAGAAGAAGAAGAAAGAAGGAGAAGGAGAAGAAAGAAAAGAAACGAGTGGGTGACAAGTTTGTAGTGTGAAACGTGGTGTGCACACTAGGAGTAAGAAAGGCACAAATTCTAACAGCCAACTAACTTTTCCAAATTAGAGCAGTGAAAAGGAATAGAGATTCATAATTAAATCATTCTTTATTTCTTTCTTTTTTCCCGATTTTCCATTGCCCAACAAAAATCCAAGTTGTGCTTTACAATGATAATAACTAAGAAGAGCATGTATGTATGTGCATGTGTACATATATGTAGATATATATAAATTTATTATTATATATACTTCTTTCTCTTTCTTGACTATTTGAATATAATACTTTTTTTAGTACATTATAGAAAATCTCAACGAACAAGTTAACCCTTTGGATGTATGAAACACATTATATCCTAAGTTTGTGTTTGATTTATATTTTTATGAAATAAACACTTGCCAAAGTGATTAATTGAAATTTGCTTAAAAACTATATATCTTGAATATTTGCATGTACAAAACAAGCTTTTTGTTTATATATGGAGCATAAAAAGGAGCCAAATATATTCAAATAGGGAAAAAGTCCATTTTTCGAAAGTAAGTAATTTTAGGTTATAAAGGTTATATATAAGCCTAAGGTTTATTAACATTAGTCTTTGTGGTAAAAGGATGATCAGTGATCAAATGCACGTGCTTTCCTTCACTTACTACGCAGAATTTGTTGACCATAATCCTATTCCTGATAGCTCTCCTGGCCTGAGTCACATTAATCCTGAATTCTCCATGTGCTTTTGAAATTTGCTTCCCCATGAATTCATTGTGAGGCATAATAGAAATTTACAAATTTGTCTACTACTAATATATCTTTTTTCCCCTTCTAAATACAGGACTATGAGAGTTCAAATATATATTTTGGACTTTTACTAAAAAAATTATTTCCATATATGAAATCTTTTTTCCCTTCCACTAGACCCATTTAACACTCATATATTGTTTCTTTTTTTCTTTGTGGGGCTTGTGGACTTAAACAAGAATTTGCAGTTTGCACGTTATTGTTGGAAGATTTTGTAAAAGAAATAAAAAAGTGGTTTGACTATAATTCTCGGAATTAATAAGTTGCAGTAAATACAAAATGAAAAATTACGAGGATTTCAATTATTGTTGCTGAAATTAATTTATTTAAAAATTTTATAAATTTATTATAAAACAATTATCTCAATTTATAATAAAAAGAGTACAATATATCTTCAGTAATAGCAATTTATCATTAGTTAAAATCTCATCAAAATAGAAGTGTAAGAAAATACTTATTTGTAGCGATGGGAGTTGAGTCTAATGAAAAAAAATTTATAAATGAGTTGATATGTTTTTATAAGTTAAAAATATAAAAACAGTAAACTCAAATAATAATAATTTTTATTTAATACTCGATTGTATCTCAAATAAAATTATTACTAATAAAATGACATTTCTATATATTACAAAATACGAGTGAACATTTGAATCCAATGATCATTTTCAGTCAGCAAAAATGGGGACTTAAAAAAAAAACACAGATAGAGGGAGGAAAAAAAAAAAGGGGATAGGTCTAACTGGTAGTTAGAAGCATGCATGCACGCACAGCGCGCACACGAAGTTCAAACCCTAATAATTATTATATATTAATAATTTAATTTTTTTGGATTTCTTCAACCAAATAAATAAACTAAAGGCTATTAAGTGGTGGATAAAAGTAAACACCTTGTGTGAAAAAGGGTAGCCACATAGTTGACAATTATCCACTTATCTTCACTGTAAAATACAAGAAATATATTTTTCTTATCCCTACGCTTTTTATTGAAAGAAAAAAAGGATTTGGATTCTACTTCAATGACATTATAGGACCAAATGAGTCGTGCAAGAGCAAGAGAATTATATATAGGATTAAGGTGTAAAAATATTCACTAAATGGTTAGCTAAAAACACCCAGTAATTTAAAGTAAAAAAATAAAAATACCTATAATATTATCAAAGATGGTGCAATGTTAAATATTGACTGTGCTTGCCATATGTTAATCTTTGTTGATATAGGTTCAAAAAGGGATAAAAAAAACTCATGAAATCATTAGCCAAAAATATCTAGTAGACTAAAATAAGAAAAGGGCAGAAGCACCCATAATATTACTTTATTAGGTGCAATAATGATCAATTTATTAAAATTTATGCCACATGGTTTCTTTGCATCTCACGTATTTTAGCCCCTCCGTCCTTCCCTACTCATTTTTCTTGTCTACGAAACCTAAAATTCAACACAATGAGATATGTTGCACACAATCAAAGATCAAGAATGAAGAGAATGTGGCTCACTGCAAAAAAATGCAAGTACTTTATGAAGGAGGTTATCTCTACTCATAACGCCTTCATGACTACGCACATCTCCTACACCAATTATCTTAAGAACATTGGTACAACCTTAATTCATTTTGTTCATGATGAGGTTTGAAACCCTCAAATAGTTTTTAACATTACTGGAAAGAAACAAACAATTTAACTTACTAATTGGTCAAAATGATATTTTTTCACATGGTAATGTTTTTTGTCTACGTTAGTAAAAAAATGATCAACCATTGCTTATGTGTCAGTTAAATGGTTAACATTTAAAGAATTTAATGAATTGATTATTATTGCACCCACAAGTAATATTATGGATATTCCTTCTTCTTTTCTCACTTTAGGTTACTAAATGTTTCTAACTAATGACTTTATGAGTATTTTAACATCTTTTTCAGTCCATGAGTCAAGATTGACATGTGGCTAACATAATCAATAGCACCATCAGCATTTAACACAAAAAACTGCAGCATTAGGACAAGTTAATGATTTGGTCACTTTTACACTAACGTTAATAATATTATATGTATTTTTATCTTTTTTCTCACTTTAAATTATTGGATGCTTCTGACCAACCACATGGTAGTTATTTTTGCACTTTAATCTTTATATATATATATATATATATATATTATATTTATAATATAAGATTTTTATATTTAAAAATATTTTTCTTGCAGGCCCTAGCGACAAAAAAAGTCGCCTCATAAATAAATTGCATATGGAAGCTTACATGCTGTCACGTACACACAAACGTTACTATGTGGTCGAGCAAGTTTTTAAGTATACAGTGGTATTTGATTTATTCAGAAGACATTTTGTGAATATTATTTGTGAAACTGACATTTTTCAGTGAAATATGGACATACACCAATGAACACACCAACATGTTAACGATTGGTTTAAAACTGGGATCTCTTCTAGATGAATTTGTGGCCTAATCTCATTTATGCTTACACAGCATTGTTGAATTTTAAGAATTAATGTGAAATTAATACGTTTATACTTGCTTATGAAAACGAATAAATTTGATGAGAATTATATATAATCCAACTCATTATTCTTCAAATTTTAAAACATGCACAAGAATAATGAAAAACAAGTCAACACGTACAATTTTTTTTTTTTTGAAAAAATAAAGGAAAAAGCATCTCAATCCTTGTGATATGAGAACACAATAGAGGATCCAACCCCATTGTAATTGTTTATTTTGTCTTTGTTAGGTGGTCATATCAAAGAAAGAAAAAAAAAAAGAAAAGAATGACAAGTCAAAGTAAATGTGAGCTTAAGAAAGTATGGTAGAGGTTATAAATAGGTAAAGCATGTGCGTTCCGACAAGGAGGAACATAGTCATGAGATTTAGGTTGGAGCAAGAAGACCAAGAGCATCATAATGATTCATAAGAGACTGTTAATAATGTATCATCACTGTATGTGTATGTGTGTGTCACTTGTCAACCAACCTACCCATGAATTTAATCATAGTGTAGTGGTCATTCAATACAAGTAATTCAACCCAGTCACTTCAAACACTTTCTTTTACATTTTGAGCGACCAAAACAGGATTTCTCTCACGGTTGCTGACTTGGGTGCCTCAATCATTTTCACTTGTCCATACAAAATCCATGATTCTCATTCATACTCACGTTTGAGGATAAATTTCTTTTCATTGAATGTTTCGGTTCTGCAATTTCATAGCACAATAAACATTTACAAGGAGAACAAATTTTCATCTATCAAACAGGTGATTGGAAGTTTGGTTGTCGTATTTTATGTATAGAACAAATGTAGTCAGCAAGTGTCTATGCAAAAGAAAATTAGTCATTATCATTGAGTGTTTGCTTCAACTAGTAAAAAAGTTGTGCCGATTTAACTAGAGATCTTAAATTTGAGTCCTAAAAATGCAATCATGCCAAATATTTAATGGAAGAGCTCGTCTTTCAAAAGAGTCCTATAAGTGTTTAACTTAAATTAACCCAACCCTCATTAAATTCCTTTAGCTCAAGTCAAGCAGGCCTAAGATAACAAATGCAGTATATAGCAAAAATTCCTATAATCATTCAAAGAGAAACTGGTCACTGCTGCCAACAAAGGATGCTCCTAAAATTTGAAAAACATACACTTCTTATGTTGTAGTCTATGTTTAGTTTGATTTAACTCTCATACATGGTACATCTTAAAAATATTGAATATAAATTGGGGTCTCTACCTTCTTTGATTTGTCCTTTTGAGTGTTATTTTTTTCCTTTTCCTCAAGAGTCAAACAAATAACAAACCTGCCGTCTAAGACAATGTGATTAGTTTTTGTTTTGGTCAAGACTGTGGGAAGATGTAGCAATTTTTAAGGTCAAAATGCACATATAAGGACAATGGTTCGACCGTTGGGAAGAAAAACGAGGGAGCAACTACTTACCATTTCAATCTAGAGACACAAAAGCCATATCAAATTCAAAGCATATGGACCCATTTGAGAAGATACCAAATTCTAATTTATTGCTCAAAAGAGAAAAGAACTAATCAATTAATTTACATTATCACCAATGTAATATAATAGCAAGCATGTGTGGGGAAAAAAATTAAACCTCCATTATTTTATTGAAAGAGGGCAGTGATAGAGAGGGTGACAAAAGGTCTACCATATGGAGAAAAAATCTCAATTTTAAAATATTGAATTCAGTTTTAGTGGTTTATAGAGTCAAATAAATTTGATCCTGCATATCCCAGTTAGATCCTATTGTAGTGTGGACCTGTAGTGAATCTCAAGATTGCTTTACATGACATGAGGTATGAGCTTATAAAAATAAAGTGTCAGCCAACTTTACCCCAAAAAACGATTTAATGGATTTGGTTTTAATTTATTTCTAAAGTTTTTGCCATCCATGACATTAAGCATTAAAAGCAAAAAAGAAAAAAGAAAAGAAAAACCATTGATTGATTGTTTCCTGGTTGAGACACACCATGCTTTAGTGAGATGATTGGGTGAAAATATAATCATAATCCAAGGTTAACATCATTGATTGTGATTGCCTTGATGCTTAAGCGAATTTTTTGGGTCCAGTCTCTATTATCCAGTATGTAAAAGCAATAATAAAATCATTTAACGCATTCACAATAATTTTCCTTCAATACTAATTAACAATACATGCTATCATAATCTCTAGCAATTTTATGAAGCCACCCCAAGACGCTCTCGCAATTCACTCACCATCTCCCCCAATCTGTTATTTAATCTATTTTTCTTTCCATCACACAAGACAAATGGTGTATTCATGTATGAAAAGTCGTATCAAAGCAAATTTCAAATCCACCATAGGTATGGTGAGAGAGGCAATTTGGAGTATCTTTAATCATGATTTTGCCCCCTAATCATACTTTTTTCAAGTACACTTTAATATTGTGCTCTTTCTTTAGAGGTTACAAGGCATGAAGGATATATATTGATATTGGCATGATGACTTTGACTTGTGAGAAATCTCTATTGCTCAGTGGTCCCTTTCTCTCAAAAGATACTCAAGCTATCACTTCAATATGCGGCAGGCCCCTCTTGTCTCCTAGTCTTTTAACCTCTTGAAGCAAAGTGCATTAGATTGTTCCCAAAGATTCCGATACTAACACTGAAGATTTTTGAGCAAACAGCAATACAGACCAAATTATTCATGAACACACATATAGATACATTATCAAGTAAGCTTTGCCGAACAAAAAGAATACCTTTATGTCCATCCACAGTTGATTTGATTAGTAAAGTTCTTTGTAATTAAAAATTTGGGTATTAAGGTCAAGAGTTCAAGTTCTCCTAATATAACAAAAAGACAACTACTGTTAAGTAATGATAATAAAAATGTAGTAAATATTATACATCTCCTGTTTTGTGTAATAAAGAGAATTTCCTTCCCCTACACCAAACACACCCCAAGAGAAGAGAGGAGAAGAAAAGAAGAAGGAATTCATAATAAAGGGGACATTGTAAGTGCTCAAGGGCACTAGATTTCTCCACACAATAAAAGAAGACAAATTTGTGGAGGTTCAAAAAGTAATACGAAGTGTCATGCACATTATGTTATTGTAATGCATGTGGGTCCCTATGACCCCTTATTGCCACTCCTTATAACAAACAAACAAACAAACATGGCCAACAGGCAACAAAGTGAATCCCGTTTTTGTCACCCAAAGAGAGAGTGCAGATATGACTTAACATATCCTCAAGAAATGACAATTCATGCAAATGGCTTTAGTCATCACCTCTATATCTTGTTCCACAAGAATCCCATGAGGCCCATTAACCTGAATGTGGAATTTTAGTTATTAAAATCATCCAGCAAAAGATAATGGAGCATATTCTCATGCTACTATATGTCCCACTTAGAAGCCTTTCCATGAGAGACAAGCAATGAGCGCTGAGCAGCACACGCCCAGAAATGGCTCTCAGGTTGAGAAGAGTATATTGAATATTGAAAATAGAAAGTCCTCCGCATCAGACGGATAAACAAGAGTGAATTACAAACATCAACTAGGACCTGAACTCCACAGTTGCATTCAGGAATCATTCAACTAGTCACTTTAACAGATAAGAGGGCATGTAGGCATGCAAAGTACCTGAACATGTTAAAAAATAAATTGTTGTGATCTGTTCTTACTTCCACCTACCAAACATAACACAATTCTTAACTCCGCCTCCCCCCTCCCCCAAAAAAGAAAAGAAAAGAAAAGAAAATCATCCTTTTTAGCAAAACATTTAAAGAACTTCTAAGAGTTTCTTCTATTTGTCACTTCCTTCCATCCCATCCGTCCAAACAAGATGAAGAAATACACCAACAGGTTAGCAATTAATAAATTTGATTTTGAAAGCACAGACTAGCAAATAGCAACACACATCTGTGTGATAACATTAACGTCACCCAGCAAAGTAAATCTGCACAACCAATTGACCAGTGCAATGGCATTTCCAAATGTCATTAATGAATTTCATAGGAGTCATGTTCTTCCACACTAGTTTCTGACGAGAAATATATGAGATAGCTTATCGCTTGCCCTACGTGATCAATATTAGTGTAATCTCATTACTCGCCTCTAACATGTCTACATCAATTTATGAGTAAAACCCCAAAGAGAACAACAAGCAGTTGTAAGACATACTAGCTCACAAATAAATATGAATACACAAACCAACGCTCGGTTCTCCAATCAAGCATAGAAAATGTAATTCCGAGAAAACATGCATTATCAAAAAGCCATATGAAACCCTTCTGTAGGATTGTAGGGGAAACTGGGGAGAGGAAGGATGAGTTAAAGACACCTAAGGGATGCAATCTATTTTTCCACAAGCACACTTTGTGGGTTTATTTCATAAGGGTAATATTGAAAAAAGAAATTATAAGCCACTCAATCCCATCCATTTTACTGCAACTTGCAAACAATCGTAAAGGAATTTCCTCCCTTCCCTCATTAATACACCCAAACAATGGAACGACACATACTTGCCATTCCATTACCTCATAAACCAAAGAAAATTATGCATCCAGAAAATGAACTGCCCCCCTTTTTTGGTAGCAGAAAATGAAATCTCCTTTGTTTCTATATCATAAGGATCTCAATCATTTAGAGAAGATGTCTGACACAAACATGATGAAAATGACCAGCACAACCAAACACTCTTAGAATAGTATTACTAATATGGGCAGGGTTGTGAGACTAACTCTTCAAGAAAAAGAAGGTTTACAATTTGCAATGTCAGATATCTAGAGGAAAATAGACATATTTTTGTACCTTTGAACCAGGGAAAAAAAAATTGCCAAATTACAATGTGGCAAAGTAACTATTCTACATTTTTTATTTTTAATGGGAATCATAATACAGGGATGGGTTTTGGTACAATATGAAACGATACAGAAGTTCTAACAGAGTTTGCATTCCCATCAAACACAAACCCAATCTACGGTAAACCAAAGGAACTAAATGACATCAATACTTGGCCAAGCACGCAGCTCATAACATGCAACCTCTTAAACAAATTAACCTAATAGTCAATAATATTATACGATGATAAAGGACCACCATTCCATTTATAGGTCCAGCACCAAAAGAATGGTATCCATTACAGCTAACAATTCATGAATAAACCCAAATAAAAAGGAAGAGAAAGATTTGAAAACGCTATACTGAGTAGTAAATCAGCTTGCTCATTGAATGTGCTTAGGGATTTCACCTTTTCTCAAAAGGGAAAGAGAGTACTCTGCAGCATCAATGAGATCATCAATGTTGTGCAGTGACCGTTCCTCAGAACCGAGCAAAAAAATGGCACGTACCTCTGCCTTCTTAGACATTCTAGCAGCTAAATTAAGCGGTAACTTCGGAGAGTTGAGGCTTCTTAATATTTGGCGATAGAGTGAGAGAACCCTTCCTCTATTTTGGGCCAAATCCTCTGCTGTAGCCCATATCAAGCCCTTTGCCATCTTGCACGACTGCAGCCGTAAATAAAAAGAAGACCAAATGAGTTGATGGGTTAATATTAATAATAATTCCAAATGCAGAGCCAGGAATCCCAAAAACACAAAGATACTTCAACGAAAGAAAAATGCTTCGTCAATTTTTTTCATCAAGAAATGCTTCTTTGGGTGGGGGGTGAACAAAGAAAACTTTGTTGTATCAGAAAAATTTCAGCTATTCATTTCAATTGGAAATGGTTCCCATGACAAATACAATCGTGATGGTGGCTCAATACAAAAAAGTAAATCTAAATCAGAGAATAGCTAATGCAGCACCACTGAATTAAAATCCATCATGTTAACAGGACTTATTTTAAGAGATGGGAGCATAAGCGGCCCCTTGTCATTAGCTTTGGCAGTTTGGTAACTTCTAGTTATACCAGAAAGAATCATAGTTCATTTTCTGCACCCGCTAACCATGCACTCTACTCTATAGTATTTCACCAATTTTATTATTAAGCTCATGGTCCAATGTCACTAAAATCATCATGAAATTTAACCCAAACCTTGACTGTCCCACTTTGCTCCAACCAAGATCCAGGTACGATTGCAAGGTTTATTTTCTGAAGTTTACGGTCTGGTTAGTGAAAAATTAGAAAGGATTGAAATCTTAGCCACTCAACTATAATAGTGCAGAACCTGGATAATATGTTCATTGAAAGAAATAATGAAATCAAGGTTAAAAAGCACATTGATTTCATAAACAAAACAAAATTCAAAAGTTGTTTGGTATGTTTTCATTTGAGACCCCAGAAGTATCACTTGTCGTCTCCCCCACCCCCCTTTCTGAAATATCTTGTGAATTTTTAAATGGTATTTTATTTGTATATGGCTATAATCACATATAAACATCGTGCGATGAAACATACATAGAGTACAATCCACCTCAAATCGACAGTCCCTATCCGAAGTTTCGTTGATTGAAACAACGAATCCTGGGAAGATGGAGAAGACCTCAAATTTAACACATGAAACTAAGCACTTATAATTTATTAACATCAAATGAACTTACATAGAAGTTTCCCTCTTCTTAATACCATTACTTGTAAGTAGAGGATACTCAAGAGGTGGTGGTGCGTGCTACGAAGTGACCCAAAAAATCTAGCATTTAACATAGTTCCATGCCTCTTAAAACCATTATTCGAAATTACTTGAGAAGTAGACAATTCCAATACTGAAGCATAACGTAAAGAGAAGAACATGAACTAAATTTTTAAACATCCAAACAAAAATATATAAGGAGAAGACACGGTCGACTCTCTAAAAAGAGTTCTGTAAACGCAGTAATAGCAGAGGACATTTACCATGTTTTCGTTAAAATAAATGAAAAATCATATTTTACTAGACTTCATCATGTAACCATAACAGCCTTGCGACCCAGAACTGAAACATATCTTTAACTTAAACCCACATTAGAAATAAAACGCAACTTCCAAGCCGTCTCAGCGGAAGTTACCAAAGTCGAAAACCAAACGAGACAACGAAAGGGGCACAGCTGATTAACCAGCAAGAATAAGACCAGGCATGATCCACACCTTTAAACGGAACAGCCTGAAGAAGGTTGCCAGCGGGAAATGGTAAGATAACCTTCGGCGGCACTGCTCTCCAGCTTGTCCCTTCGGTTGTTCTTCGCTCGTGCTTCTCAGTTTGCTCTTTTCCGGCTATGGCAATTTCTCTCTTTTCTCCAAAGTGGCAAGTTCCATTTATCATTTTATATTACAAATTAATTTTAGAGTTTATTTATTTATTGTTCATTTTTATCAATTGAAATAAATTAAAATTATTAATTTACCGATACAATCTAACTGACTATTTTCTTTCAACTATAGTAACATCTAAATAAATACTTAAGAATATAATTTTAAAACTTAATAAAGCTAGTTAACTTCATAATTTTCATAAACTTAATCTAATTGACTATTTTCTTTTAACTATTAATTTATCTTTTTATAAAAAAATCAAATTTATAATTCATTATTTAAAAAAATATATATATTTTATATATTTAATGTATTTGTTTTCAATTGAATTAAACATTTATATCTTTTATAGCTTTTTATTTTATAATAAATTTTAATTATTAATATCATTAATACATTAAAATTCACTTATCCAATAACATTACAGCCTGGCAGCATATTAAAAATACAAAATTAAATATCTAAATCTCACTCTCTCTCTTTTTTGTGCCTTTGAAAGATTTTTTTAATCAACATATAAGATTTAAAAATAAAAAATATAAAAGTAATATCAATAATTTTTATAACATGACAGAAAAAGTTCAAAAACTCCAGCACCACCTAATATTATGCAACCACTTTTTTATATAATGAAAAATTACCACTGAGAAAGATTTAGTGAGACCTGACTTGATTCACATTAATCTGATCCATGACCTTCGGAAACTAATTGCCATATTAAAAATAGAAGGGGAGGGGAAAAAAAAGGCACAGAGACCAGGATCAAGTTTCTACGCAGTAAAGATGAGACGAAGCAAAATAACGACCTGGATACGTCAAAATAATATTGATGATGATGATGACGACGACGACCTGGCCTCAAATCTGCGGCAAATGATAAGGTACTAATTCGAACTTAACTTTAACAAGGATCAGTTTTATAATATTATTCTATTATTATAGGCTAAATATATATAAATATGGAAGGGATTAAACCTAAATGGGGTTTCTCCCTTCATATGGTAAGCATCAGAAAATTTACACGTTATAAGGTCCAACTGTTGATATGAATTTTCAACTAATAAACAATACAAAACTGAAACATAGGAAAAGGCCCTCGTGACCTGGTATGGAATTAAATGTTCACGAAAGCTCGGTTTCTTGTGGGATAGTCCTTCGCCTGTGAGTCAAGTTTGTGCTCGAATATTCACTATCACCATCAGAAGATCCAACACTTGATAAAGACGAACTCTGGTGGATTGAGCTTGTTACTGGATTGGGTTTTGGCGTTTCATTTCTGAATGCCTGAGAAGCAGCAGTATTTTGAGTTTCTGTTCCTCCAGATGGTGCACGTCCCTGAGCTTCTTCAGCAAGACGCTTCAGAAGGTTCATGACTGTGGGAAGAAACTTGGATGAAATAGAAAGCAATCCCGGCAGCTGCAACAAAATAAACAAGTCACACAAAATTCAACATCTTCCACCAGGCACAGATATGGTCCATTTTGAGAATTAGTATGGACCCTAATTATCTGAGAACAGGATGTGACCCGAATCAAACAATGCTAGCAAGAGCCTGATAGTAATTTGCAAGTCATTCACTTTCTAGTCAGCAGGAAAAAAAAAATAAAAAAAAAGGTGCATCCAACTGAAAACAGAGGTCACTGGTACTCACAGCACCATGTCGAAACTCTCCTGCAATGTCCATTTGTACCCATAAGGCCTTTCCAAGAAAATAGGCGACGAAAATTACCATCAGGTAGAAGGGATTTCTGTTTAAAATAGAAAAGTCAGCAAGTATAATCATTAACCTTAAAAATTCTGGTAAAAAAAAAAAAACCATTAACCTTAAAGATAGATAACCTCCAAAAACATTTTAGAAAGTGATATTTACTTTAGAAGAAGCATAAATTCGTTAAACCCAAGCACAATCATCGCCAGTATAGCCCATGGTGGTGGTAGCCAATTGTTACTTTGCTTGTAGGCCTCCTGAACTCACAGGCAAGAAAGTTAAACAAAATGAATAAAATATTGGTTAGTGTGCCTGGATTCCTACTATCTAGGTAAAGAAAGAAATTAATGGTGACAAATATTTTCTAATAAGCTGCAATTTAGAAGAAACAAAAGGAAAAAGGATACCAAAGCTCAATATATACAAGCAAACAACATGGATACAACTCTAGAAAGCCATGAAAATTATTCAAGATACACACAAACTGAGTTCACGATGGAAATGGACCCACTGGAGTATAAAGAAACCAGGCAAAAACAGCAACTTGGAGCAGAAGAATGAAAGCCCCGAGATAGAGATAGCATGATCAAAATATGTGACTGCTACTCATTCCTATTTGCCTGGTAACTTTGATTTCACTTCTGATAAGAAGGCCTTTGAGAAATCTCCCCAAGCCCAAACAGGAGTGGCCAGGTATTTGAGCTAGATCCATACACTATTTGTGGTTTAGGTGTAAGCCTTGTTCAATGCATTCAGGATTTTAAAAAAAACAAAAAACAAAAATCATAGCATTTTAAATGGATCTTCCAAGCGTACTTGTTGGCAGCAAATAGCAGAAATCAGAATTCTGAACCACAATCCCAGACTTGAAATGGATAAGAATCGAATTTAGTATATGAAAATTCAGCCCAAATTTCTTGGATACTTCTTGTGTCTGGCCAAAGTAAACGTGCAGGGATATGCATGCCTAAAGTTCACCTACACAGATTGAAGCTCACAACCCCAAAAAACTCGCATTGCATGTAATCAACATAGATCATAATTTTAAAACAATTATACGTCAGCAACTAATAAACTGAACTTTTCAGAAATTCTTGGGAAAGTCATCTTTTCTGGCATCGTAGACAGGATTCCATTAAAAAAAAAAAAGAAGAAAAAGAAAAAATAATGTGGACAGAAGAGTACAATCTAGCGATTTACCTGTGCTGCAATAGCTTGGGTGACTGTATACTCAGTTTCTGCCTGGAACTGTCTCCACAAAGACTTGCACTGCACTGGAGTAACAAGTGTATCCCTTGGGGAAACCTATATTTGAAACAAATTCACATTTAATAATTTTGAGTTAATAATATCAAGGAAAACTACCCATATGCACCATATACTACCTCCTCCCATGAGCTAGCTGCCAGTGGGTCTGCAGAAGCTTCTCTAGTTTCATTTTGTGAGGATGT